CCTTAAGTATATTTAATTTTTGTGATGATAAAAGAACTCCCCTCGCCCTACGATCAAAAATTAAATTGGGCCGGAACCCACCGGATCTCGGCTCCGCTGCAACCTAGTTTTTGTAATAAATCATAATTCTAGTCAGGAAAGCACCGGAGCCCTGAATAAGAAGGCTGCGGCACTTCTTTTATGTAATTGAATAACAATTCAGTAGAAATTTTATCTCGAAAATTTATTTTAACAATAAATTATATTAAAAAATCGCATATTAAAATTCAATTTATCTCTTTACAATTTATTTAATTTTAATTAGGTTTAACTTACTTCAATCTTTAAATTATTTCAATAATATCAATTAAATTATATATATTAATTATATATATATAAAATATATAATTAATTTATAATAATTATTGATTAATAAATTTATAAACATTAATTAAATATGTATTAATTAATTTGATAATAATTAACTATTTAATTTTAAAATTATTAATGAGTTAACAGTCATTTTATTTATTTATTTACTCTTCTTCCTCTCTGCTGACGGTCTTCCATAGGGCTCCGGCACTTCTAATCTTAGAAATTAAGCCCTGGGAAGATAATTTGGAAAAGTTTGAGTCAGTTCCAAAAGACGCCTATAAAACTATTCATAAAATTGTTATTGACCATTTGACAACACTAGAGGAGAAAGTTATTCATTACTTCCCAAATTTAGATATAAAGAAATTTGACTGGATTCGTAATCCATTTGTGATAACGGATACATCTGTATATGAATTAAATTTGAATGAAGAGGAAGAACTTATTTCAGTTCAATCGTAGTATACGGTACACACGAGATTTGGTGACTGTTGGCGACATTATGATGAGCAGTAAACGGGTCGCTTTGGTGTTGGAAGGCGGTTTTTAAGTTTAAACGGAGCCAATTTTCAAAATCGTGCCAAGGCCGTACCGTATACTAGGATTTTACCCTAATTCGCTCTGTAATAATCGATATTTAATTTCAAAACATTCGGAAGAGTCAATTAATTCATTTTAAATTAAAATTAGAGGCGTTGTCCCATAATAGCCAAAAAAGCTTTAAAAATATTGTTTCAATTTTTCTACACCTTATTGTGTGAATTCTGATTTTCAGCATTAACATGTAGAGTCCAGTAGGTAAATTTCTGTATGAAAACTGTAGTAGGAAACTACACAAGAGAAGGGTTAAAGTACCCCTTATTAAATCTGAAAATTTTCAATGCGTCAACTCGACGCTAGCAAACTTCGCCTTTGCTTGGGCGGTAAATGAAAATCAAGTAACGAAACTAAAATTTGAAGATATTAACAAAGAACAGAACTAGACTACAGGGCTCAGCGAGATCCCGTAACTTAAACCCCCTTCGAAGCTAGTGGCAGCAAATAAATGCAATTTAAGCCACTTGAACCAGCAATAAGCAAACGTATCTACGGGCAGAGGTGGTGGCTAAAGCTTAACTCTCTCTTTTCTCCTACCGAAACACGGCTTTTAAATATTTTCTGAAAAGTAGAAATTCGCATTCCTTCACGCGCGCTACAAAATTTAACTATTCTAGCACTGACAATTAGGAAAATGAAGACTTATAGGAAAGTTTTTTTAAATAAAAGTTTAACTTGTTAGTTAAAATAAATATAAATCCCTACAAACAAATATAAAGATGAAAAAAAAAAAAAAAAAGATCGAGACTTTTACATATACACCCATATCCATAAATTAAGGATAATTCGGAGTCACGCGGAAATCGAACTCTAAAATAAATATATCACCTGTAAAATCTCTACACACATCTTCAAGAATCATATGCAAATTTCAGGAAGTAACCAGATGACACCGATGGTACGTCACAATGACGAGAGTGTAAGAGAGTGATATATAAGGAATACAGGCAAAGAAGTAAAATTGTTCGCAGGCGCTTTATAAGCATTTAGTGGCAATAACCGAATAGTTATGACACAAAGGGCGCATTTGGATGATTTTTTACGTCGTAGAATTATCGGCCGTCTGGAATGTGGGCGTACCCAACTGGAAGTATCACACGAACTTGAAATTGCCCAGAGTGTCATCTCCAGGCTTTGGCAATGATTCCAAGATGATGGTAATGTTAGTAGACGTTACAGCACAGGTCGCCCCAGAGATACAACGCCGAATGAGGACCGGTATTTGGCAGTTACTGCCAAAAGAAACAGGCGGAGCACAGCCTCAGACTCGTCTCGTCAGCTCTCTTCAGCCACTGGTACGACAATTTCAAGGCAGACCGTGTACAGACGCTTAGGACAGATTGGTCTATATGCTCGCAGACCTGTCAGATGCGTTCCACTTACTGCAACTCACTGTCGCCTGAGGTTAGCCTGGAGTAGAGAGCATGCATTGTGGACACCGCAACAGTGGGCTTGTGTGACGTTTTCCGACGAGTCCAGGTTTAGCTTGCAGTCTGATTCTCGCCGGACTTTCATATGAAGAGCTCCAGGTACCCGTTACCACCAAGAAAACATCATTGAACGACACCGTTACGGTGGTGCAGGAGTGCTCGTTAGGGGTGGAATTATTCTGGGTTCCAGAACTGACCCGCATGTTCAAATTGGAACCGTGACAAGCCAAATCTATCGGAACGTCATTCTGGAACAACATGTACGTTTGTTTCGGGGCGCCATGGGCGCACAATTTGTGTTTATGGATGACAACGCCCGTCCTCACCGAGCAAACATCGTAAGCGAATGCCTTCAATCGGAGGGTAGCACCCGTATGGACTGGCCAGCATTCTCACCGGACTTGAATCCAGTAGAACACGTGTGGAACATGCTTGGCCGACGAGTTGCAGCCCGTCAACCTCCTCCTACATGTCTACCGGAACTTCGGAGATCATTGCGTTTTGAGTGGTGTAATATCCCCCCAAGATCAAATCGATAATTTGACACTCAGCATGCCTAGGCGTTGTATGGACTGTATCGCATCGTCTGGGAGACATACAATGCATTAACAATCATACCAACCACGTAATATTGGTTTTTGTCGTAAATAGGTTTTTTTTTTTTTTTTTTTTTTGTTTTTGTAATTTGCTCCAAGGAGAAAAAATTGCTAATTTTTTTAATAATATCAAACATATAGCATCTTTTTTTACTCTTTACCTTTTGTTTAATAAATAAGCTTTACAAATAATTCAAATTTGTTTTGCTTCTAACTCTTCCTTTGCCTGATTTTGCATTATCATTAATTTATGGACATGAGTGTAGATGACGAAATGAGAGTGACATTATCATTCTTACGGCCAAATGTAAACGAAATTATTAAAAATCATCAAGCTTAAATTTCGTATTAAATGTATTCTTATAATTAATTTGCAATTAGTTAATAAACATTTTGCTGTTTTTGTCGTATTTATTATTTTATTTAATATTGAAAATTATTATCATAAACTATTTTACATAGTGTATTACAGATTATTATATTTTATTATATTTTAAACTTATTTCATTGCTAGTGTGCCGCCAAATTTTGAAACTGTTAAAAGCGTACCGGGAAAAAAAAAAAGAAAAAAAAAAAAAAAAGTTGAGAATTACTGGCATAGTGCATCACTAATTCTAAATTTATTTTAAACGGACCTGTTTACTTGGTTATGAATCAGCATATCATTGCAAAAATTGGTAATGAATCAGCATATCATTGATTACCTGATTATTAATCAGCATATCATTGCATTATGAGCTATTTTCAGGATAGTTTCATGTATTTCTCATACGTTTTAAAACTTAAAGTGTCAAAAAATTTCCAAAGACTAATTTTGTGAAAAATGAAAAAAATCAACGCGATTTCTAAATTAAGAATTAAAGGAGGCTATTAATCAATCTGACCAACAACTATTTCTGAATTAGGAATGCGAAAAATTGAATTTAGCTTCTGGTTAAAGAACATTGTAGAGTAATGTAACTATGTACGTAACATAACGGTGAAGATGATTTTGGGAAGGACAAATATCGAAGTTTTACTTACGTGACAAAAATTTATTATTTTTCTTTTGCTGGTAGTAACTAAGACACTGTAGTACGCCTATGAATAAGATACGTCGGTGAATTTTTCCGATATGCTGTAATTCTGCAGGATCTTTCCAAGGATACCTAATAAACAGAAACTTTGTGACGTGTCCTTATAGAAATGAACCACGGTGTGTAATGTCAGGTGGTCCAGTTGCAAATCATCAACCGCCAGCAGTGGCTGTTGGGAAGCAGATGTTCCATTGAACATTGTTATCACCACCTAAAATGACAAATAAATCGACATATAAAGAAAACTGTCCACTGAAAAAAACTTCTATGTTCTATGTTCTTTTACTAATACATACTAGATGTCCAAATTTGGTTGATTTTTTAACTACCGTATAATTTAGAATATAGTTATATTTTGTCTCTTGAATAATTTATGAATCAAATGAATATGCGAAAATGACCTAAAAATACATCAAATATATTTCGTAAAATTTCACTTAATTTTTAATTTTTTTTTTTTTTTTTTCAAGCCAATTGTAACTTGCCAAAATATTTTGAAAGATAATTATAATTTAGCTCTTTCTAAAGGTGTAGGACAAATAACGAGGTAAACAAAAATTTCTTAAAAGATTTATAAAAAAGCAAGACCTTATTATCTATGCCAGATATTATAATGAAACTTTCTGTAAAAACATTAATAACTGAAAACTTATTACTTGCTATTTCATTGAGGAATTTAATAAACTGTTTAAATCTGACAAGAAAAATTTATATTTTATATTTATTAATTAAATAATATTATTATATCAATGCATTTATTTTTTATTTACAAAAGACATTTTGCATATTGGAGAAAAGTGATTTTTTGACAGAAGGGTGTGTGTGTGTGATTATGGCAAAGCATCGAGGGCTATCTGCCTAAGGGGAGGACTTTTTTTTCACAGAAGGATTTTGCTAACTCATAATTTCGTCTCCTTTATTTTTCAGATTTCTTTTCTCTTTTTCAGATTCTAGAGGATGAAACTTGAGTGTTACGGGATAACTGTCGTGTGATCTAAAAGAATAAAATGAGAGTTACAGAATGTGAAGATGTGAAAAGCAGCAAAAAAGAGACCAAATACTACATGGGCAAGTCAAAATTTTGATTTTTAATTAGAAATTCATTGTATATGTCACTATGTAATTATTGCCTGCATTAAAAGTAAAAATAAATAAACAAATAAAGTTATTTTTTGAAGTTGATGAATTGTGACGCGAAATATTTAGAGACTTAACTTGGTAGGCTAGATATCTTCAAAATTCGTCTTATGTTCTAAATTTGAAATGCAAATAGAATTAATTCTAGATCTGGCGGAATAATTTTCGCTTTTCTATAGAGTAACTATTTACTTCGGTAAAAACCATAGTGGCTGTGGACAAAAGAGAAGAAATTAAAATTTTATTCGCGTTTTAGAGCATTTATAAATTATCTGCCTACAGGTAATCAGAATATTCTTTCTATACTTGAATTCGAATTATTTATCAACCATTCTGAGATTTACTCATTATGTGCAGTATCCTTATCATTAGATTTTTACCGTATTCCTTTAAAAATTGGTAACAAACTGTAATGTAATGCAATTATCATGACTAGTTGACCTCAATCCATGCTAAATCTTTAATGTTCTTAGTGTTAAAACATTTGTTCATTTATACATTACTATGAAGTAACTATAACAAATAAATACAATTATTTCTTCAGCCTTAAAAACAGAAATGTATCCGCTCTTCGCTCAAGAATAATTTATTTATGAGAAATGCGCAAAGTATTTTCGCTTATTTAGATTATTATTTTCTTTTAAAAAAGGAACAACAAGTCTTCTTTTAATTAACTCGACTTTCTTTATCCAGGCATCAAGACTTGTTTCGAATTATTTAATTTTTTCAGTTACAGTAAAGCTTTATTTTAAGCAAACTATTTATCTCACTATTGTAGCTTTACCATAACTTCTTTTTCGTTAACTTTCACTAGAATGCAAATTAGTAAAAATATAAATAAGGTTTTAGGTTCTAAGTTTTTCAGAGGGAAAGCGTTTGGCAGCATAGGCTGGCCAACACACTGGTTTAGAGTCTTCGCCATTGCAATTTAACTTCCTACTAGCTTTCACGAGGACTTGGTTAGGAGGCAGCTTAAATTTAGTTAGAAATGAGCAGCATGAAGCAGCCAGTGCAGGGCTAGGATTTCAAACGCAATGTGTCCCAAGTGCAATGTGCAACAAGTCCGCAGGCAGACCACTTAACCAGATAATTGATAAGGGGATAGCGTGAACGAGGTAAAAGAAACAGATTGACTGGTAAGTAGCCGTCGCAGTTTGATAAGAGATCAGGGGTCCTAGTCTGGACACCGTCGAGATAGAAGAACGGGTCGTTTTTTGCGATCTACTCGACAGAGAGCGAGTCATGTGTCATCGTCTCGATCAATACAGAGATCGACGCGTCGGAAAATTTTCCGTCAGCTGGACAGCTGCCGTTTAAGTTTCTGACTGTCGTTTAGAGCTACTGAGGACGGCGGAGGTCGGATTGTTTTTGAAAGTGTACGTAATAATATTTTAATTTCTTAAGATTTGTGAAAAACTCGATTTCGCTATAGAAATAACCATTTTGATCTAACGATTCTACATTTTTTTTATTCTACTTTACCAATGGCTTAGTTTAATTTTAGTGAAAATAATATATTTGGTGTTTTCCTATTTCACATAAAGAAGGAGTGGTTACTTTTAATTTAAATTGTATTTTTAAGCAATGTACATATCAATGTACTTAATTTCATGTTTGATGAGTTTTGTAAATTTGAAATTTATGTTTAAATTATAATGTATTAGCTTCTACTTTTATTTAATTTGTAGTGTATAAAAATTTAATACATTAATTAAAGATCTGCAGTATATAATTCAACTATGCACATCCTAAATTCAACATTTACATAACTTGCTTTGATTAAAAAATTTATTTAGTAGTTTAACTGTACCGTATCATTCAATTTCCAATAGTTTTTAGAATCTCCTGTATAAAACAAGTTAAATTCCTGTATAATTTTGGTTAAATTCTGTCAATATTATAATGACGATTTATAATATATCAGATTTTTAATGTGGTCTACTTTAGATATTACATCAGTTTGTGTATGTTTATTCAGATCTAAAAGTGCATAGTTTTGTTTTATGTAATTCGGCACCCTCGAGGGCTATCTGCCTAAAGTGAGGGTTGCCTTAGTGGAGGACATGCTAAGGAAAACTAGCTCGTATACACGTAACACATGGAAACCACGAACGTTCATGCAACCAGCCCGTTCGCGGATTCCAACCTTGGACCGAACTTCTAGTGTTCAGCGATTTTACCGGCCGCTGGTGGGATCGATTTAGAAGGGTATAAATATAATTACTGCAGTTTCTTTCACGGCATCTGTTATATATTTATACAGTTATTATATATATATATATATACATATTTAAAACTTTAGGTGCTTTAACTTCTATGCTTCTTAAGTTACCATGGTATATCGTCATTAATCAAAATCGTAAAAACAACCTTGTCTTTAGCGTAAGTAGAATGAAACACTCAATCGATTTCGAGGGCAGCTAAAAGTCCTCCTCATCAGGAGAAAGAAATACCTAGAAAGAAGAATTCCTTTCTCCTGATGAGGAGGGAGTTTTAGCTGCCCTCGAAATCGATTGAGTGTTTCATTATACTTACGCTAAATACAAGTTGTTTTTTACGGTTTTGATTGTCACTTGAGCGTGTTTCTCTTCTAGTCTATATCTGTCATTACTAATGATAAATTGGTATCATTACCATTGATATATTGGTAATGACAGATACATTGGTAATGACGCCCATGCTTCCAGTCCGTTCGCGCGATTCGAACCTCGGACCGCACTACCAGTATTCGGAGATTTTACCGCTCGGCCTCTAGTGGGATCGACTTAAAAAGGGCATAAATAGGATATGCACTGCAATTTCCTTTCACTGCATATATTATATATTTATAATACATTTATATATACATATAGTTATTTTTAAAACAGATTTTGTATGCCTTAATTTTCGCTTTGGAAATTAAGAATGTGTTTTTAATACAGATATATTGGGTTATCAGAGATATGTTGGTAATGCAACAAACCCGTTCGCAGTATTTGTACCTCGGACGGAACTACCAGTGTTCAGCGATCTTACCACACGGTCTGTGGGATGGAATTAAAAAGGGTATAAATAGGAAATGTATTTCAATTCCTTTCACTGCATATGTTAAAATATATATATATATATGTGTGTGTGTGCAAGATAATATGTTTATGATTTAACCTATAGTTATTTATTTTTTTATTTCTTCCTATTACTTTGTTAAAAGTATGTTTATATTTTACTCACTGCTTATTGGTATCTACGATACATAGTTATTTGTAGCTACGTGATAGGTTAATTCCTGAATAAATAAATTATGATAAATAATGGGTCTAAAAATTATTTTTTTTATTCAAATTCATTTGGAATATTAACACGCGTAACGCGTGTTTTCACGAATCATATTTCAATGATTTGACTATGATGTTGTTGCTATCCTTTCAGTAAAATAATGTTTTAATCATAAAATTCCTGTTAACAAATATTTACAAACATGTAACCTTTAGAAATTTCCATTTTCAAAAGATCATACGTAATTATGTTTACGTTCTTCACATACCTGAAGTTTAAAAAGGCCATTCTTTCTGCGTTTAAAATATCCATTAACGTTCCCCATTTCTTTTTTCCATACTCTTTACTAATCCAGCGCGTATTTTTTCGAAAAATTAACCATTACTCGAACTCGATTTTTTTCCTACCGCCCCTCGTAATATCACGTGCGAAACAACAAACACCCCTTCCCCTGCTGGAGCTATGAGAGTAAGGCTCCTCTAAACCAGGCTGAATCACCAACTTTTCTCTCTTGGCGAGGGAGTGAACGCGCTGCCAATTTTGGCGCGTTTATCGCACAAGCTGGCTGAATGTCTGCTGTTTTTTTTTTTAAAGATTTATTTTATAGACGCGCGGCATTCAGCGCATATAAACTTTTCGGATAGTTTATTAATTCTCGAATAGTATATAGACGTTTTCACTTAAATAAAAATTTCGCGTATATTTTGTAAACATATTCAAAATAACTTATTCTTTAGATGTTTCAGTTTCGTTAGCAGACTAAAATAAATAAGATATGAATAAAAACTTTCAATAGTGTCAAATGGGGAAATAGTTAAAGCGTAGAGTGTGCAAATAAATTTATCTTAATGACATTTTAACAAAAATTTCCATAAAAACACTGTAAATTAATACTAAAAAAATAACTTAAGTATATGTTGTCATTTAAGTCTGAGGTATATGGAAATAATTGTGCCAGACTCTGAAGAAACACTTTCTTTTAAATGTGTGAAATATTTCATAACATATATGGAAGAAGAAAGTACAGCATTCTGTGTTTTGGATGCTTTTCACCAAATGTAATATAAATACGAACTAGAAACCGTAATAAAAGTCCTTCCTCTCTCAATCAGATCACCTTTGTGTTGCATTGTATTTGTAATACTTCTAAAAATCCAATTTTTACCTAAATTAAAAAACAGTTATTCCATAAAAGATAAAAACTTTGAACGTATATAGAATGAATTTTGTAATTTGAGTTATGTTACAAAATAATTCATAGTTTATATATATTTTATACTAATAATTTAGATAAAACCTGTCCAATTTAAAAATGTGTGTTAACCACATTCTTAAATTGTAAAAGGACGACTTAACCACATGTAATTCATTTCAAAGCATAAAAGAAAGCTTATTTTTTATTTTACACAGCAACAGCATTTTCATGCAGTCAAGTTTTTTTAACTGCTAGTTATTATACATAATACTTAATTTTAAACCCATTCTTATTAGAAAGCATAACTAAGAAACTTCTTTTTAAAGCACCACAGTGATTGCAAAGAATGTCGTTAAATTTACAAAAGTATTGAAGATATATTGAACAGCATTATAACAAGAAAGTACTGTACAAAATATGTAAATTTAGCATAACTTCTTTTTTAGTATTTGCATAGTTTCCT